GTCACATGGAAACGATAAAAGATAGCAAGAGGCATAGACACATGGGAAATGATGGTCCAAGCCCAGATACCATAGAAGTTCAGTTGGGTTGGATGGGCATCAGCACGGGAGGTTTCAAAGGTGTTGATGGCCCACATGGCTAAGTTACATACCAGTAAGAATGTTACCTGGAATATAAAGAAAATTATACCTGTGATTTGAAATACTCAGGAAGAGAAACTAATAGAGCTTATAGTATCTTTATGAATGTCTTTTAACCATGCCAACCTAGGTGAATAGGGATGGTCAGCCACTCTATTGAAAAATCAGAAGAATGGGAAACATTTATATTGTATGGGAATATGTTTTTTTCTGGCTATCTACAGTTATGTATCTACTGTAAACTACTTATTTTTCACATTTAACTATCAAAAGAAAACTATGGCATAAGTAGGATATTCTAGCTGGGTATAACTAAAATCACTTACCATTTCTCTGCCTGGTTTACGCTCAAGCTGATCATGGTTGTAGCAGCACCGACGAGAGGCATCCAAAATAAAGATGGTTTGCAAAGTGGTTTGTATCAGTGTGACAATTGAAGACAAGAGAGGTAGAATCAAATTATCCTGGAATGGAGAAAAGAAAAGCGTCAATCATTCTCATCTACATGAATATGAAACTAGCTTTCTTTATTCCACATACAAATATTCAACAGGTATAAACTGAAATATGCAAAAAATGCAGTTCATTTCCTATTTACAGAAACATAGACACATCATTTATAATATAGGGTAAAATATTCCTTACAGTCATAGTAAAGTGGCCTCCAATGACAGTGAATGAAGTGTAAATGTACACCCCTGTCTGAGCAATAAGCAGAAGGATGTTGTCAAGCTCGATGTCCCCTTCTGGTATAAACTCCAGTTCTCTCATCTGAATCATTCCTATCACAACTGTAACACTTGCAACACTGGCAAGGAGAGAGAGAATGAAATTAATCTTCTGTAATGGAATTTGCTTATCTGCATGAAATGTTAATAATGCATATTTGACTAACCCACTGAGCAAAAAGGAGAGTTTGATCCAAGATGCAGAAACCAGATACAAAAGTGTCATACATAATCATACTTGTACATCCAAATTGTTACTACTATTCAGCACGCCTACTCTAAACTATGGACAAAATAGCCAATTACTACAATGGTACTGAAAGCAAACACAACAATGAAGTTTCCTTACCCATAAACTGATAACTCGATGATATTGGCCTCCATTATGGCTACATCTTTATAGGCTTCATTGTTGATGAGAACAAAGAATAGTATCAGTGAGATGATGGTGAGAACAAGAACAAGGATGCCCATGAATAACCCACGGTTGGCATGAGCACAGTCCACAGAGTAATGGTGGCGAGCCTTTCTTGCGACATAAGTGGATATGTCTGAGTCACCATCATATGTAACTTCTGGCTTGTTGATATTCTTCCAAATTACATAAAGAACACCTGAAAAGAAGATATTATTGATCCCCAGCTGTCTACATATTTCTACAATATTGGATTAATACATCAAAAACCTGCCAAGTGGAACAGGATATATTAATAAAATTTCACTTGTTAATCACAGAAATGAAATGATTATATAAGTAAACTCTGATTTCAGTTCCCATGTTATGTACTTTAATGTTCTCAATGTTTTAGCTGAAGGGTACATAATTCTATTTATACAAAACTTTTATATTGAAAACCAATGAAATAACTCTCAGTTGTCACCACCAATTACATTTTCTAACAATGCACTTTACTTCCCTGCAATCAAGTTATGAACATTAGAATAGTTCTCAACATATATAATACTAACCAGCACAGAGAAGTGAATACTCAATGGTACATGGGAAAAGGAATGGTGAGGCATTATCAACCAATTGTCCCATGAGATCAGAGCGCCGACATTCGAAGATGCTGAATGCATGATGCTCTCCTGATGATCTCTTCACAATGTTGTGACTGTCATTTGCAACCTGGCATATTCCAGTAAAAAGAATTAATACCTAAAGCTATTTAGAGGGCACTAAATTCATATAACAACCAAATTTATCCTATCCAGTTCTATATCAGATGTTTCCTTAGAATAATGCTGAACCTTAATTCTTAATTGTAACGTCTGAAGAAAACATCTACTGAGCATGGAGGTAAGGTGACTAATTCTTCTATTGCATTCTATCTAAAAGGGACAGCTGTTTGCAAAGAACTTACTACTCCCAAATAGGCAAACTAAACCCTTTTCTTCAGATTAACCATGCACATCTCGAGATTATATACCTTTCTCAACGTATACCTTATGATAATGTACCTTATGAAGATCATGTAGGTCATGTGGTGCATGTGTGGTTTCATTGAAAAGTGTGTGGTTAACCATAGTATCACTGTGGTCATCATCGTGGTGACCAAGAATGGCACCAGCATCGTCATGGTGACCAGCGCCACTTGCACCATGGTGGGTTGCACTGCTCCCTCTACCTG